AGCTGCCCGCGAGCCCAGCGCGCCCAGGGTCAGTCCCTGATGATCCCCACCCTTTTGCCAGTTCCTTCCACCAAACCCGCTTTTGGGGTCCCCATCGACCTGGATTCCGGCGGAGACATTGTCTGTGACTCCATCAAAGTTTCCTCATGTTCTCTGGGCCTCAGTTTCCACCTCTGGGTAATGGAAACCATAGCCTGTACTTCACTGAACTTCCAAAAGAATGAGTGCAGCCATGTCCGGGGTCGGTCTGGCACGCGACCATAGCACGGCCAGATCCCGAACATGCCCCAGAGATTTTGTTCACCCGGCAGCATTCGCTGGCCGCCTGCTTTGTGCCAGGCACTGTTCTAGGTGCTGGGACACTCCAGGGAATGAAATCCTCCTGGAGCTTTGCAATCTAGCCTTGCAAGGCATTCTGGCGTCTGTTTTCTCATGACCACCCGGTGAGGAGCCAGAGCAGCCAGAAATATTTGGGTCCATTCGCAGTTGTGCCTACTGAGGTACAGTGAGGTTTTAAGGCTGTTACCCAAGGGCACACCCCAACAAGTGAGTACCCAAGGCTGAGTCCAGCTTTTGCCACAAAAGGCATCCCCTTAGGGTAGAAAGTCAACTCTGATCGCATAGACCCTTCCCCAGAACAGAGTCCTCTGGGCCTGAGTATAAAAGGAGGGCTTGCTACTGGCTGCATCCTCTCCTCTCCCTCTGGGGGATTTAGGCCCCTCCTCCATGATGATTTGCAGTCTCTCTCATTAAACCCATGAATGGACTGGGTGCGGTGGCTCACGCCTGTAATCCCAGCACTTTAGGAGGCCGAGGCAGGCGGATCACTTGAGGCCAGGAATTCAAGACCAGCCTGGCCAACATGGTGGAACCCCCATCTCTACTAAAAATACAAAAATTAGTCAGGTGTAGTGGCGCGTGCCTGTAGTCCCAGCTACTGGGGAGGCTGAGGGAGGAGAATTGCTTGAGCCAAGGAGATGGAGGTTACAGTGAGCCAAGATCACACCACTACACTCCAGCCTGGGCAACAGAGTGAGACTCTGTCTCAAAAATCTAAAAAAGATCTAGGGAGCCGGGTACGGTGGCTCACACCTGTAATTCCAGAACTTTGGGAGGCTGAGGTGGGAGGATCACTTGAGGTCAGGAGTTCAAGACCAGCCTGGCCAACATGGTAAACAACTCCATCTCTACTGAAAATGCAAAAACTTACCAGGCATGGTAGCATGCACCTGTATTCCCAGCTGCTTCGGGGCTAAGATGGGAGGATCACTTGAACAGGGAAGGTTGAGGCTGCAGTAAGCTATGATTGCGCCACTGCACTCCAGCCTAGGCGACAGAGAAAATAAGTAGTCTGAGGCTGCAAAGAACAGGATCTTCAGTGCTGTCCCCCTAGACCCATAGACCAGACCCTAAAGCCTGCAGAGGGATTGGGCAGACCCTGTGGTACCAGCCACCCACACTACTGTTGGACCTGGGAGGACCAGAGGCGGCAGGTGTCAGGGTGGGGACAGGCACAGCACTTGGAGTCATGTACAAGTTTCCAGGGTGCAGAGTCCTTTTGGATCCGTGTGGATTCTCCTTCTCCTTCTCTTTCTCTTCCTCCTCTTCCAGAAGGCCCTCCCCATCGCCCCAGTCAGAAAGCAGCCACCTCCCATTCTGGTGAGGTTCCCGCTGGATGATTTGCCCTGTCTTCCTTCGGTGCTCCATGGAAACTGGAATTTTAAGAAACTGGTAGAGAAGTCAGGAATGCTTTATGTCAACCTCAGTCACACAGTGTGACTTTGGGCCTCAATTTCCCTAGCTCTAAAACCCAAGTCTTGGCTGCCTTGTCTCTGACTCTCTGTGCAGAGGATAGCAGCCACACTGGCGTTTCTTTTTGTTTGTTTTTTGAGGTTGAGTCTCACTCTATTGCCCAGGCTGGGGTGCAGTGGCACCATCTCAACTCACTGCAACCTCTGCCTTCTGGGTTCAAGCAATTCTTGTGCTTCAGTCTCCTAGCTGGGATTACAGGTGTGCCCCACCACACCCAGCTAATTTTTGCATTTTCAGTAGACACAGGGTTTCACCATGTTGGCCATGCTGGTCTCCAACTCCTGGCCTCAAGTGATTCGCCCGCCTCGGCCTCCCAAAGTGCTGGAATTACAGATGTGAGCCACCGTGCCAGGCCCCCACTGGAGATTCTTGAGATTCTGAAAGGGACAGGTTCCCTGGGAACTCAGAAAGTCTCTAATTTCCACCTGGAGCTCCCCTCAGTCCTAGAGGTCTAATAATCTATGTGACGTGAAACGATTCTAGAGCATTCTTTCTTCTACTTTTTTCCCCACAGGTGGTCGGTTTCTGGGTCTGCATGGCTCAGTAGAGGATGAAGTCCAACCCCCTAGGCTCCTCCCCAGAGGCCTGCAAAGCTGCAGGCCAGGGTGAGAAGAGCTGCCCTGTCTGCCAGGCCTGTGGAGAGGTTTCGGGTCCAAGATCTGGTTTAGGGTCTGAGTCAGGGCCTGCACCAAAGCCTGGTGCCATTCCAGGGCCTGGACTGGGGCCCAAAGCTATTCCAGGACCTCAGGCGGGTTCTGGTGTTGCTCTGAGGCCTGGTGCTGTTTCAGGGACTGGACCAGGTCTAGGACCTGGGCCAGGAGCTGGGTCAGTACCTGGACCAGGAGCTGGGTCTATACCTGGTCTAGGAGCTGGGTCTGTACCTGGGCCAGGAACTGGGTCTATACCTGGTCTAGGAGTGGGGTCTATACCTGGGCCAGGAGCTGGGTCTG